ATTACAGATTTGCCAGTGGATAGGTGATTTGGTTAAACCAGATGTTGTCAGCGCCCTCTGTCACTCTCACAGGCAGAGGGCATTTAACACGGCAGTCGTGGAGATATCTGACATGAGAACTACAGCAAGTGTTTTTTTTTTTTTACTCGTCTTCTCCCTCACTGTTTAAAAATGTACACAGTACAGATGGAAAATGTGCTGTTCATCTTTTCATTTTCCCTTTTTTCCCCGTTAATGTTTTAAAACGGCCCAAAACATTTATCGACGCTTGCTACACACTTCTGGTGTATGCTGATTTGTTTTTTTTTGTTTGTTTGTTTTTTTTTCTTTATCTCCTGTACAGTAAATGTTGATGTACATAACTTTTTTGTCTTAAAAAAAAAAGAGCAAAAGATCACTGTTGAGTCTTTTGACCATTCTATTGTAGTTTTATCTAAAAATGAGAAAAAAAAGTTTAAAAAAATTTAATTTTTTGTTTATCTCTGTTGCTTGTCCCAAAACAACTTTGTCTCAAGCCCTGGATATTTTTTGTAAACACTGTATAGGTTTTGGATACAGTTGCAGGGATGCTTTATTGAGGGTTTGCTTGGATATGACGGAAATCACGACCACAACTCTTTGGACCACCACAACTACCTAAAGTGGACTCCAGGTTAGTATTGGACTTGCAATGTGTAGATGATCATAGACACCCAGTGACACCAGTGCTTCTCAGGTGCAGGTAACCGCAAATAAATTATCCTTAAGACAACAGGAAACGTTGTGCATTTTCTGGAAGTGATCACATCTTTTCAGGTATTGTTTAGCACGTGGAAGGATTAGTACAGAACATTGGAAGAACCATCAAAATGCTACACTAATCCTTCTGTTCAGTATAGCTTCAGTGTCACGCCTATTGTTGATCTTGTTTTTGTAATTATTATTTAAAGGCTGGGTTTTCTGTGCACTTGCCTTGAGTTTAAGCCCTAGATGTCAGGTCGGTGAGCACTGGATAGTTTAGACAGTCACAAGAAAGTGTTTAAACATCGGTTGTGTGTCCCTGTGATTCGCAGATTGTCTGACATCTAAAATTAACCTCAAACAACAAAAGTGATTTGTTCGGGAAACTGCTTGACTCCCCCCACCCCCACCAGTTCACCGTGGTCTGTTTTAATGGTGCAGCTTGTTCCTGATGAAGCCAGGTCCTGGTTGTTTTTGTGTCCATGAAAGTTTTTGGTGCTTAATGGAAAAAATGGTTCGAAGCTTTTTGAGGAGTTGTGCTGGTGTGTGTGTATGTGTGTGTATGCATGCGTGTGGTTGACTGTATGAGCGTGCATGCATAGACGGTTGTGTTTATGTGTTGGAGAGAGACAGAATTCCCTTCGTTTTGGGTGTTTACCCTCTGCGCCTCCTGTGGAGGTTCTTAAAAGGCATCCTGGGGTCACCAGTGGGGGGGGGAGTGAGGAGACAACTCTTTTCCTGCCTTTGGCCCCAACCCTCCATCTTTATGGTCTAAAGCTGGATAGCTCTGTGTTCAGCACAGAAGATATATGTATACTATAAAGTGATGCTGACGAGGTACCCTCTTCTTCGGAGCAGGTAGCGAGTTAACACAGGCTCTATTTTCCAGCATCAGTTTTCCCCAACTAAATGTACAGAGAACTGTTTTTCAAAAGGCATATTCTTCATTATTGGGGGTTTTCTTATCACTTTATTTATATTTGCATATTTGTACCATGTGATCTTTTTTTAAATAGCATTCATAGCAGGTAGGTCTCTTTTTGAATGAAATCTGCACCACTCTGTTTCAGACAATTCATGTTTTGCTGTTCAGAAACATTTAACAAAACAAGTCATTTAGATGTTTGTTTCTAAAATGTATTGAAAGGGTATTTTTGTATGTGTTTATCACTTCCTTTAAATGAATCTGTACACCCATTAAACCCCTAAAAACTACGCTGATGTTGTGTTCTTTGTTATATATGTCTTTTATACAATTATTTGTTGTCATAAATTGACACGTTCACCTCTTCTGGCAGTGATGGGAGTTTTTTTTTTTTATTACCAACACAAAGGAGTGCACACAGGTAAACAGCCGTGCTTACAACAGTCCTGCAGCAGCCACAGATACTAGATTTTTTTGAAGTTTTTCTGTCAGAGCATTTTATTGATTGATGTCGGGATGTAAAGTGAATTTCAACAAATAGAAAATGCTTCTGTAATAATTGCCTACCCCAGCTTTCGTGTCTGTGTCAGTTCAGCTTAATAAATTAGCGTTAAATTGAATGTGAAGTTACTGAGAACTGCAGAGCTTAACAGACCTAATGGGAAGATTGTTTGGTCAATGACTGTTTCTAAGGTCAAGAATGAACTTTTAATCTCAATGAGAAATGCACTTTGTGATTTTAAGATTAGTCCATGGTTTCTTTTGGTCTCATTATGCATATCAGAGTTAACCGATAAAACTTAAGTGGCTTTCTCGTCTGCATAATCCGCTGTAGTCATACCGCTTGTATTTGTGTTTACATGCAAAGACAGATCAGCGGCTGGTTTCACCCTACCTTGAAGGCTATTTAACTAAACTTGGACCTGCTCAAAGTATTTCCAGAATCCTCAAGACTCCATTTGACCATATGAAATCAAAAAATGTAGTTCACAGTAGGCTACAAAAACATAACAGGTCTCTCAAGTTGTGGCTTTTTCCCATCCAGGTAGTAGGAAAGTGCAGGTGAAACTTGAAAAATTTGCATATCGTGCAAAAGTTCATTTATTTCAGTAATTCAACTAATGAAACTAATATAGACTCATTACATGCAAAGTGAGATATTTCAAGCCTTTATTTGATATAATTTTGATGATTATGGCTTACAGCTTATGAAAACCCCAAATTTAAAATCTCAGAAAATTAGAATATTGTGAAAAGGTTCAGTATTGTAGGCTCAAAGTGTCACGCTCTAATCAGCTAATTAATCCAAAACACCTGCAAAGGGTTCCTGAGCCTTTAATTGGTCTCTCAGTCTGGTTCAGTGGAATTCACAATCATGGGGAAAACTGCTGACCTGACAGTTGTGCAGAATCACTGACACTCTCCACAAGGAGGGAAAGCCTCAAAAGGTAATTGCAAAAGAAGTTGGATGTTCTCAAAGTGCTGTATCAAGGCACATTAATAGAAAGTTAAGTTGAAGGGAAAAGGTGCACAGGCAGCAGGGATGACCGGAGCCTGGAGAGGATTGTCAGGAAAAGGCCATTCAAATGTGTGGGGGAGCTTCACAAGGAGTGGACTGAGAATGGAGTTACTGACACACCCGTCACAGACGGGTCCTGGACATGGGCTTCAAATGTTGTATTCCTCTTGTCAAGCCGCTCCTGCACAACAAACAACGTCAGAAGCGTCTTACTTGGGCTAAAGAAAACCAGAACTGGTCTGTTTCTCAGTGGTCCAAAGTCCTCTTTTCTGAGGAGAGCAAATTTTGCATCTCATTTGGAAACCAAGGTCCCAGAGTCTGGAGGAAGAATGGAGAGGCACACAATCCAAGATGCTTGAAGTCCAGTGTGAAGTTTCCACAGTCTGTGTTGGTTTGGGGGGGCCATGTCATCTGCTGGTGTTGGTCCACTGTGTCCAGAGTCAGCGCAGCCGTCTACCAGGACATTTTAGAGCACTTTATGCTGCTTTATGGAGATGCTGACTTCATTTTCCATCAGGACTTGGCACCTGCCCACACTGCCAAAAGTACCAAAACCTGGTTCAATGACCATGGGATTACTGCGCTTGATAGGCCAGCAAACTGGCCTGACCTGAACCCCGTAGAGAATCTATGGGGCATTGCCAAGAGAAAAATGCAGAAGAGCTGAAGGCCGCTATTGAAGCATCCTGGTTTTCCATAACACCTCAGCAGTGCCACAGGCTGATGGCATCCATGCCACGCCGCATTGAGGCAGTAATTCATGCAAAAGGGGCCCAAACCAAGTACTGAGTACATATGCATGATTATACTTTTCAGAGGGCTGACATTTCTGTATTTAAAATCCTTTTTTTTTTTTTTTTGATTTCATGTAATCTAATTTTCTGAGATTTTGAATTTGGGGTTTTCATAAGCTGTACGCAATAATCATCAAAATTATATCAAATAAAGGCTTGAAATATCTCACTTTGCATGAGTTTCACCTTTTTGAAGTTGAATTACTGAAATAAATGATTGATTTTGCGCAACACAAGAATGTTATTAAAATAGTTTTTAGTCTAGTTGTCCAGTTTGAGAAATGAACCTATTTTGCTGTTTTACGGGTGTAGTGGCCACTTTCTTGGCTGGCAGCAGTAACTTCCTGGAGTCTCTACAGATTGCCTGGCAACTGTTCCAGGAAGTTCCACACCCCTAAAAAGGCAAATTATTATTTTTTTTCTGTATGGGTTAAACAAAGTTTAAAAATAAAAAGCTTGGTGAGCTCCAGAGGTGCTGGTGGGGTGTGTTTCTTTTTATCACCTTTGGACAAACGGAGCTAACAGGTGGGCTGCTGGCCCCCGACAACGTAGCTGACAGATATGAGAACTCTAAGCAAGAAAGCTTTTCCATTATATACCGAACTATTCCAAAACGACATGGGTTTTTCATAGATCATGTAGTATATTTCACAAAGGTACAAACTAGCAAGATGATATACCCAAAATGTTAACTTGGTCAGTGTTGGCTGACATCAGGCATCCAGGTTTGCATGCTGCTGCCTCCGTGCTTTACAGTAAGTATAGCCAGTGCTGATGCATGTGGTGACATGTAGGAAGTGTGAAGAGTTGCTGATAGTTGAATATTGATCCATTACACAGTGTGACACGTGTATTTGCTTTTATTATTTGTCGCGGCTTCTTCCAAACTGAAGCCTTCCGTCGCCTTCAGTCTGCCTCTGCTCTTGGAGGATACGCAGTGAACTCTCCGCAGCGCAGGTAGCGAATCCTCAGCGCTCTCGCTCATGTGAGTCATGCGGCTTCTCATTGGCCAGTTCAGATCAAGTGGGCGGGGCAGAGGGAATTCCCCCCCCCCCGCTGGTATCTTCTAACAAATATTACTTTTCTGTCCACTGTCACTCATTGAGCTCGGGGTTCTCCAAGAGACAATAACCTGTGGTACGGCTGAGAGAAAGCGAGTGAGTGCGCCTTCATCATGGGTGAGTAGCAACAGATATTTACTGTATAATAACAACGGTTACGCGGAGAATGAGAGGTAAGACAGAATGTAATGAATAATCATGTAGTGACTCAGATGTAACTTATTTATTTTAAATGTACAATAGCAACACTAGTGCTTATTTCTTAAGTTAAATACAGTTTGGCTTTGTTGTAAGTCTGTTGAACACAGCGAAACTTCCTCCTTGTTGCAATGATTGATTGGAGTGCTTGTAATCACAGTGAAGAAGGTTACAAAACACTACAAACCAGTTTGAGTGAAATATGCTTCCGTATGGTTTTGGATCTAATTTACATGTATATTTGCCTAATTTCCTCCTGTATGTCACATTTTCCTCCTCAGATCTTATGCCCTCCATGCTAGGGGACAATTCACACCTAAGTAAGTAAATTTTAACAAAGTCACAAGTCAATATGTATATGTGTCAAACAGTCTTTGAATATATGCAGGGTCTTTCACTTCCCTATTTAGTTTTATTGCTAAGCATTGTCTGTGTGTGTGTGTGTGTGTGTGTGTGTGTGTGTGTGTGTGTGTGTGTTTTAGCATCTTGTGTGTGTGTGACAACCAAAGGTGCTGGGAAACGTCTTCATAGTTTGAGATGTATGAGTTCAGTGTTATATATATGTGTGTGTGTGTGTGTGTGAGAGAGAGAGCTACATCTTCTCTCATTTCTGTGTTTGGAGCGTAGCTGCAAAATGAGGAAGGCGGGCTATGAAAGTGCCTAGTTTTTGGCAAACGGTATTATATATGTCAAAAATGTAACATGACTTGCCCTACATAGCATCTGCGTGTGAACGCTGGCCACTCAGCTCTCATGTCAAGAAAAACTGATTCTCGTGTTGTCAAATCATTGGAAGTACTGTAACCCAAAACAGACACATTTCCCGGATCAGTTTTAGTTCCTCTCTCACACAGGCATCATGTGGTGCAAGTTCTTTTTCATGCAGTAGGGTCTAAGTAGTATGAACTAATATCATACTTTGTTTTGAATGCAGAACAACAGCGGAGGTTTGCCGGATTTGATGATTTGTAGTTTAAAATTTGCCTGTACATCTAACAGGGCTACATTTTCCACTGAAATAGTGTTAGACATCTAGGTTACATATAACGTTATTCCAACTGTATGTCAGAAACTCTTTCAGTGAGAAGCATTACTGAACTCTGAAAACATCTCAAAACATTTTAACCATCACTGAATATAAGCTTACTGAACTATTGAACCAGACAGTGACAGTTTTAACAGTGACAGCAAAACAAAAACAGGAAGATTAGGATGTGCTAATCAGTTTTACACATAAAAGAGCATTCATCAGTCCCATTTCATCTTGTATTTTTCACTCTCATCTTTCTGTAGCTGAAGGGTGTACAATAAGTCATTTTTTCCATGAAGCTTAGACAGTTGACAGTGTCTATGAGGAGGCTCATAGTGGTGGTTTACTTGCAGCTATCTTCAGGTGGTAGATATCACTTCTACACAAAGCTTTAGGCAACATACAAAAACAGAAGTAAAATATTAACTCAAAACACAGGCTGGGACATTTTTTCCGCTATATTTTTTTAACACTTTTGTTTAAGCAAACGATTTAATGGATTTTTTTCAAAGCAGACATTTTGAGTGGGGTTTTTTTGTCCTGCAAATTCAATGCTTCCTGGGTTATTTAATGTCAGAAACATGGCCGTTAACTGAGAAGACCTTCCCTTGACTTATTGATCCTTATTCAATACAAAAAGATGTTTTTTGGTGATTCCACCTTCCCAGCACAAAGCCACTAGTGGCGATCCAAACAGGCAAAACAAGAAGCAGACACTTCTGTCTTATTTGGGTACTGATTCACCTTGCCTCTGCACTATCGTCTCCTTCCCTATTTGCCCCTACACATCCCTTAATTGTCTGTTTTCATCATCTGTGCTCTCTAGTGCCTGAACCAGAGATCCAGATCTTCGAGCAGCCCAAGCAGAGGGGAATGCGCTTCAGGTACAAGTGTGAGGGTCGCTCGGCTGGAAGCATCCCCGGCGAGAAGAGCTCCGACAACAACAGGACCTACCCCAGTCTGCAGGTCAGTCAAATATTTGCATCGTTATATATATTTACACATAAAAGCACATATGGAGCACATTTAGCTGTATTGGTATCGTAGAAAAATGTGCAACGCCCTTAAAGCACCTGATTTTTTCCTATTTTGTTCTTCCTCTTTCCACAAGTTGGCATGCATGTCTGTCAATCTATATACGTATCAGCTTCTGTTAAAGCAAACTCATCTTCCTTCGCAGATCCTTAATTACTGCGGTAAAGGGAAGGTGCGTGTCTACTTGGTGACCAAGAACGAGCCGTACCGACCACATCCACACGACCTGGTGGGGAAGGACTGTAAAGACGGATTCTATGAGGCTGAGTTTGGTCCAGACCGCAGAGTGATCGCGTGAGTTCTCACCTCTGTCCAACAACACTCGGTGTAGCTGTATTCATTGACTTCACTGTCTTCATCAGAGTAATTAGTAACAGTCTCAGTCTTAATCAGCACGCTGTCATCAACATAAGTAAACACATCCTCTATGTTGCACACACACACACCACAACGTAATCAATTTGCTCTCTATTAACAGTATTTCATGTTTCACTTGATGGTTTCAGGAGTTTAAATCAGTGACCTCTCAGATACAGAGGAGGAAACTCACACAGCAAATCACACACACACACACAAAGCTAGTCAAACCATGTCTGTGATGAGGATGGTAATATGGGAATTCCCCAAGTGAAATCACCCATATTTGCTGTGTGTTTGAGAGAGAAAACAGAGTTTGTGTGTGTGTACTCGAGCATGTGTTTGAGAGTGTGAATGAGTCAGTATCTTTTGGCGTGTGTAATTTTCAAATCCCTCATGGACTTCTGTAGTAAATTCAGGTTAATCTAGACTTCCAGCTCAAACATTATCTAAAATATTGTCAGTTTGCGGTGTTCTCTTTTACATGCAAAACCAGATGGATTAGAGTCATTACATCATTACTTTGACCTTCAAACACACTTCATACACAACAGGATTCTTCTTTGAGTTCACACTTCACTCTCGTGTGGCCCCATGTGTTTTGTTTATTATAAGCAGCTTGTTGCAGCACTGTAAGGGCCGGTCGCTTTCTCACAGCCCTGTTGTATTATTATTCACACAGTTTCCAGAATCTGGGGATCCAGTGTGTGAGAAGGAGGGAAGTTAAAGATGCGATCGTCCAGAGAATTACCAGAGGGATCAACCCCTTCAATGGTGAGTCCTCCTGCTCCGAATTCCCACATTCTGTCTGCGTCTGTTTTCATCTGTTTTGTTGGGGGTACACACTGACTGACAGCAGCTGTTTCTGTCACATATCTTGGACTGAGGCAGCATATACTACAGTTAAAAGTCAATAAATCCAAAGAAAAGAGCAAACGCTAACAATGAATGTATCCTACCTACAAGTATTGTATGTGTGTCCAAAGCCTGATAATTCCTCTGTGACGTAGAGCTCCATTGTACAAAAACTATTAAAAACGGTGTCACACTGTTGCACTGGATGACATGTTCCCTCACCGCTTTCAACATGGCTACTGTAGTTTACGTTGAGTCAATCCCACATACACCGTCCTGCTGCTGGAAATACTCTCTGTAGTGCCAATTGTGTATAAATCCGCTGCTGAAAATAGGACCCCAACAAATGCTGTGTAACGGACATTGCTGAGTCAGTTCGCTAACGTTGTGACTCTCCTTTTATTTATGACATTAACTCAGTATTAAACAGCAATAAATGAAAGCACAAACACAGTAAAGATGTTTTAAGCACACATTTTAAAAAGTAAGGGTCAAATATATATTTAAAAAAATGAAGTACTAACATCTCTTTTCTGCCATTACTATATCAGCTCATAATATCAGTTCACTAATATGTCATTCGGACTGTAATTAGTGAATGAAGTAAAGAGTGTCATTGTGTTTAGGTGGAATAATTTGTATTCTGCTGCTGCTGCTACAGTCGTTGTTAGCACTGCCACTGACTGTAGCTGGTACTATTGTTGCTGCTCTTGCTTTTACTGCTCTTGATACTGTTAAGCGTGTTCAGAAGAATTGTTTCCTTTCTTGTTGACCCACTTCTTAGGCAGTCAAGAAGATTTTCCTAACACCAAGTCAAAAATCCGCTCTCTCGCCACCACACCGTCTACACTAACGCCATTTCCTCAATGCGCTTCTATTCTGTGGTCCTCTGGTTTAGACAGACAGCGGTTCTCGTGTACAAACAGGCGTTGAGCTACTTCCCCATTCTTGGTCACAGTTGCTCAATTCAGAACAGTGGAGGATGCCACGTGAGAGCTGGGAATGCAGGATTCATTAAAGGGGGGAGGGTGGACCGAGGGGGTTCCCCGGCTCACAGACATGATGATAAAAGTATGCTATGGTGCTTTTATAGGACTGTAAAACCATTGAGGGAATGGAAGGTTTTATGATCAGGTTTGATTAAGACATACAGGCTTCTAGTTTTAGTGTTTGATCTCTAAAAGTATGGTTGTTACAAATATGACAAAGTATCATAAATTTTTTTATAATTGCACTAAGCAAAAGTGCACGCTGGCAAGTCCAAATAGCAAATAGGTGGGGACTGAAACTGCTTGAATTAACTTCATTAAGCAGTCATCTGGTTCTGTTTACCACACATTGCTGGATTGTTTGTACCTTGTTCTGACGCTTTCATTTATGACTTTCTGAGTTTGCAAAAGTGCTCATACTTGATACTTCACTTTCACTTGGGCAAATCCTGCAAAGCCCAAGCACTACACACAGAGGCAAACACCATGGAGCGTAAAACTTCTACACAGATGGCTCCTGTGTGATATCGACGCCTAACCCTGACTGACAATTTTAGTCTTTTGCTCGGTGTATTGAGCTTCACCATATGTGACTTCATCTCTATTCTTGTCAAATTGAAGACTTGAAACACCGGTAGTCTCTTTTGCAGTGATGTCTATGACTTTACACCTGCCCTCACTGCTACCCTTCAAGATATTTTATTGTGTGAATCAAGTGGTCTCGGAGGTGGTCTCAGCAGCTTGATTTAGTGGATTATAAAAAAACTAAAACTTTACCATCTTCCCCATGTCATTTCTTAATGGAGGAGTTTTAGCAGTGGTGGACTTTTAATTTAAAATGATTATTAATTTAAATGGGAGTGTAGTGAGGTTGGAGGTGACCCGGGCTTTGACCTCTAACGCGGATGAGATCGCACCACAAGTACTCTCGTCAGTAGTTTGTCCATGAAGAACCGTTCATGGGAAATGGGCTGTCATGTTCAGATCATGTTCTGTCTAGCTACAGGGGAGTTGAAGGTGGAATTAAAAGTTGGATACAGCCACTTTGTATGAGGTCTACTCCTGTTGACTTACAATGAGTGCAGCTTCCATTTCTAAATTAACCAACATTACAAGCAATCAGAGAAATATTCAGAGTCTTGTGATGGAGACAACGTCACGTGAAGCTCAACTAAGTGAATAGTATAGTAGTATATAGGAGCTGAATGTCAGATTTCAGGGCGCCATGGTAATACAACAGTTACAGACAAAATGTATTTACTGCCGCAGACGCGGCTGCGATGGGCAGCTGGATGTCTTTTTCTCATGTCTCAAACCTTCCCCTCTCTTCAACTCACTTCTGCTTTGAAACTCAGCTGCTTCCTGTCAGGGGGAGATATGCCCCCCCAACACACAAGCATGTTACACACTTAGACACAAACCCTCCTGACCCCACCTCATTACATGCATGTGAGATGTTGTTTGCACTACAGCCTTGTGGTTGAAAGGGAAATGTCTGAGACCTAATGAGCTCACAGAGTAAATGAAGTCACTCTCTATTAGCAGTAAGCTCAGCTCACCTGTATTGGTGATGACACAGAACTGAGTACTGTGTGTGTGTGTGTGTGATGTAGTAATATGTTTCTGTATTACTGTTTCCTCACATTTCACAGTGTGGTGTGGTGGTACACCTGGTAAACGTTTGTCACGGTGCTTTCTTATACGCTCCTCTCAGACTTTCTGTAACCTCACCTTTGATGTAACTAGGTTTTTTTTTCAACAATTAAATAGTTTTTTTGCAGGCTCACAAAAAGAAAAAACGGATAATCGTATTGATCCTTATTTGAGCCCATAGTTTTTCCTCTTAAACAATAGCGATTAAGCCCGCCTAGCCGCACCTATCACTTTAAATTACTAGGGACTGTTTCTTAGAGCAGATAGCTCAGTTGTTTTAAATTAAATTAATAGTTTACTCAGTTACTGCTGCAGCTAAATAATAGGTTATTATAACAGTGTTACTTTAGAGCCCAACTTTGAACAAGTTACATAAATTAGTTGTGGAATCCAATCATCATAACCAGACTCATTGCTTTACCTTATCATAATTGGTGTACACAAATAAGATCATGGAGGAGAGTGATGTAGAGATATATTGGCTGAGGTTTAATAATTTCCATAACCCTGAAAGCTTTCTGTTGCAAAGAAGATATCACCACGGTGATAGATGGACTGAAGAGGATTAACATGTTAGAAGTGGTTTTTCCAGTGGCCTTTTACTCTTACTGTTATTTGCCATTGCCAAAATACTTTCATTACAACTTGTACCCAAACCATCCTATATAATTTGTGCGACTTAAAGCAATTTCCCTATGTGCTGTAAAGCAACAACACTAGAAAACTGACCGGTGTGTTAGCTCATAAATATATATATATATATATGATGTAACTGTAATATATGATTCAGAAGTCATTGTCGCAGCCTCAGTAAGACACACTGAAAGATGCATGCCATGAAACTTGAAATTGTGAGTCATGCAGTGGAGACGCTGTTTGTGGTGAAAGCTTGGCACCTGCCTTGCGCCTCCCCTTCTTTCTCACTCTCACATTCTTCTCCCACATTCACACCCCGCCTACCCCTCACCCCACACAACTACCCACCCCTGACCCACCACCATCACTGTCCTCTTCACCACCACAGCCGACGACCTCGTCCCTCTGCAGGTGCAGCTTCATGCAGCCAGGATGCCCGGTGCCTCTGGGCCCAGCTTCTTTCCACCGCACACACTCACTCACCCCTACTTTTACCTACAGCCCACTTTCCTGCACCTGTCCAGCATCAGCCTCCTTTAATAACACACTCCACAAACACTCACGCATACAGACCAACATGGTATGTTCCATCAATATTTGCTATAAGAGTTCCACTTTCATACATTAAGCGAGGCTTCAGTTCTCCCTCCTTCAGTTTCTCCATTGAGTGTCTGTCTCTGCCACCTACAACAGACAAACTGATGACCCAACAGAAATCTGAAGTAGAGCAGAGCTGCATGCAGCTGCATGACTTGATTGTTATAGAGAGAAAATTCAGCCCCAAGATGTTTTAATTTTCACAGTGTTTTTGTTTTTTTGTTTGAAACAGAAAGGGAACCCCTTATGTAGTAAATACTGCATACTCCAAATATGCTCTCTGAAGGCTATTCCATGATGTATCATTTATATATTAATAAGTAGTATGCTACACATTCTTTTACATACTTCTGAAATGGTTGCAGCTATCAGCCTTAGAAAGATAGTTTACTTTCTTGCTGAGATTTTGTCGTCAAATATGAAGCTACAAGCAGGAGACTGTTAGCTTAACTTAGCATGAAGACTAGAAGCAGGGGAAACAGCTAGCATAGCTCTGTCAGAAGGTGACAAATTCTGTCTTATTGTACACTTCAGTTTTTGTATGGATTAAAGAAATAAAATCTTAGTGAGTGAGCTTCAGAGGTGCTGGCAGCAATGTTTTTTTATAACCTTTCTGACAGAGCAAGACTGTCGCCCCCCCCCCCCCCCCCTTTCCAATCTTTGTGCTAAACTAAGCTAACTATCTCCTAGATGTAGCTTCATGGCGGAATAGACACTTACGACAGTGGTATTGATCAAACTCTCAGAAAGAAAGCAAAATGTCAAACTATTTCTGTATGGCTGGATGTATCCAAACTAAACTGCAGATGATATAAAGCAGGTCAGACAGTCTGAATGCTATGCCTTCTAATATAGAACATTGTTATAAACATTAGAGCCAGGCTGACATGTTTTAGCTGAATCAAAGCTTGAAGTTTCAGGTCAAGGCTGACGTTTGTATTGTATAATTTCTCACTAAAAATGCTCAAGGAGATGTGGGGGAAATCCTTGGGTAGACACATGTTAGTCGCTGTTAATTCCACAGCTGTGGACTCAAGTCAGACTCAAGTCACCCATTTGATGACTTCTTACTAAGCTAAATCCAAACTGACCTATAGCTGCACTGATTACCTGTGACTTCACTTGGTGATGCAATGCATGCAGAGACAGAGCAGGAAAAATACTTAGCTAGCTGTTTGCACTGAACATGCCCTGTGACACATTCAGTAAGGATGAGGAGTTGACTGCTCATGTCTAACTGCACTGCAGTTTTTTGTTGTTTCTGTTAGGAATATCCACATATTATTACCACTGAATACATTTGGAACAGCAAAAAAAAACAATTCTGGTTTTATGCTGTTGGTGTTAACATTTTGCAATGACATTAAAATGGGCTAGAAACAAATGATGAAGGACTCAAAAAGTAAAGACTTGACACTTGACTTGACGCCCGCTCCTGTCCCACCACTTTCACACACGTCAGGAGCCACCATGGTCACTCATGCAGGGAGTCTCATCTCTAGCCTCTGTGTTATGCAGACACTCACACACACACACACAGGCACACGCAGGCACTTCTTTCCACTCCGAGGTGACGTCGCAGAGCGTCACCGTGGCAACAGATTGTAGGCGAGTATGGCCTCGGCATGAGCGCGAAAGAGACGGAGGAAGAGAAAGCACGCAGATGTGAAAGCCTAGTGTGTGTGTCGGTGTGTGGGAGTCTCAGTAGCTCTCCCTGCAAGGTGTGTGTTTGTGTGTGTTGCCTCTGAGGGCGGTATGTGTGACGCTTGTATGTATGTGTGTGTGAGTGTGTGTGCAGATGAGAATGTAGGCTGTGGACACTTGAAAAAAAGCTTATCTGTGACGTGTTTCTGTTGATCCAAAGAAAGCCTACACATTCGACAAACATGAGAACATTATAGACTGTCAATGTCTATCTATCCATCTATCTATGCTTTGATGGTTTGACATATTTATGTCATTGATCGTTCAACACACTTTTTTTTTAAACACACGGTTTATTATATCATTCTGTTATTATATCAATTATTATGCAGTTGTAGGACGCATATGTTGTTATATGCAGTCTAGGCTAAATCCTAAACCATGTTAAATCTTAAATGGTCGGTTCACCCAAACTACAAAAAGAGGTATATGTCCACTTACTTTTAGTGGTGTCATCAACTGTTATGTTTCAATGCATTGACTGACGACCTGTCCATCGTCGCCCAATGACAACCGGTATTGGCTCATGCCCGTACGCAACCCTCTGAACAATAAGTAGGTATACAGTAGCTAATGGACGGATTTTTCAGTGCTTTGAGCACCACAAACGAAAGTCCATTAACTTCCATTTAATTGTTGTTTTGAGGTATTTGTACTTTATGCTCCACAACAGCCCAGAGGGAAATATTGTACTTTTTACCCCACTACATTAATTTGATAGCTATAGTTACTAGTTAATGTACAGATCATGCAAAAAGATGAGATGCATTTAAAAACAGATTAAACTACACAACGCTATATAAAATAAAGTTAGCTCCACCTCTACCAATTACAACTATAAAATGCTATTTACACATTAATAATAATCAGTAATCTATATTTGTATTACTTTTAATTTTGAGTATGTTTTGCTGACAGTAATTTAATTATATATGTATCATTTTCAGTGCTGCACTTTAATGTTAATTTAAGTAATTTATGCAAATATTTCTTCAACTGGAGACTAATAAGTGAAAACCTAAGCACATAAAACCAGAACCATCTGAGCTCACTAGGGCCAAGGTGAAATGGTCATGGAGCATTGCATCCTACAGTTATTTGGCTGAACTGACCCTTTAATTGCTTATATTGCTGGTTGTTTGTCTTATAACGGTAATAATGCCTTTGGTGAGCGACAGTATTTGCTCTCACCTAGCTGTGATACTGACACCTGTGTGTGTGTGTTTGTGTGTGTGTGTCTTCGTGTCTTCAGTGCCACGTGAGCAGCTGCTGCAAACAGAGGAGTACGACTTGAACGTGGTTCGCCTGTGCATCCAGGTTTTCCTGCAGGACGAGAACGGCCACTGCACCCGACCGCTCAGCCCCATCGTCACCAACCCCATCTACGACAACAGTGAGTGGCCGAGCTTTGTCTGCTTCACAATGTGTTCTTGCTGATGTCATGTTAGGTAATTACAATTGACGGGAATAAAAGGCTGCCTAGGGTTAGGTGTGTCTACCTTCAGGTTAAACTGATCCCTAACCTGATGATCATATAACAGCTGCAAACAATGTGCTAATATTCATGCCATTTCCCAGCCTTACCTCAACTTTTATATATGTTCTACTAATTGAACTAAGGTAATGTTAATAATACTATGTCAGAATTGAGAAGTTACACAAGTAGCTGTGTTTACACATACGTTCATACAGTATATACCTGTAGCTGTGCAGGTGTGTTTAAAGCAAGACCTGCGTATGTGTGTCCAGTAGATATTCTGTGTTGTACTTGTGAACTAGTTCAGTGTTCCTCACACATATTGAGAAAGGGGAAGTTCTTTATACACTTACCCTCCAACAACACCGTTGCTGAGCAGCACTTCCTCTTCTGACAGCAGGCATGTGACATGTGACTCAACCTGGTGAGGCTTCAACCGTAAACTGAATGTGGTCTTTTTTCTAAACAGAGGCAAATACTGAACCAGTTACAATGAGCCACTAAAGCTAGATCAAGTGAAGGCAGATTCTGACATTGTCACTCTTGGAAAAGAAACAATTGTTGTCTTACTTGCAATATCAGGTCTGACTTGTTAGAGGTGTTGTCTTTGTTGGGTGGCATGTTCACAACTTGTTTTCTGCATCATCAGGGGCCCCGAACACAGCCGAGCTGAGGATCTGTCGGGTCAACAGGAACAGTGGCACTGTTAAGGGAGGGGATGAGATCTTCTTACTGTGTGACAAAGTGCAGAAAGGTAAATCACTATCAATGTCAATTGATCAGCATTTTATTATTTTGCACATTTTACAGTTTACTGTATGTTTGCTCATTCATCCGTTCATCTATTTTCCCTGCATCCATCGTCATTCAATCCATTTATCCATTAATCCATTTTTTAGTGGCCATCTCTTGGCATGTTCATTCAGTTTTCCATTCCTGTCCTCCCATCATCCCCCTTTCCTCCAGATGACATTGAGGTGCGATTCTTCTCCCCTGACGGCTGGGAGGCCAAAGGCTCCTTCTCCCAGGCCGATGTTCATCGCCAAGTAGCTATCGTCTTCAAGACTCCGTCCTACTATAACACCTCCATAACAGAGTCGGTCACTGTGCAAATGCAGTTGCGGCGACCTTCTGATCAGGAAGTCAGTGAACCGATGGATTTCAGATATCTGCCCGACGACAAAGGTAAGCAATGATCTCCTTCTGTCTATTATTGGTAAACTATCGACACTCCTTTGTTTCAGATAGTAGTGTACACAAACTGGCGCCCAGTTCTCACTTAGATTCAGTTAATATATATATGTGAATGTTTTGTGTTTGCTATAGATCCTTATGGCTACAATGAGAAGAAGCGCAGGAGAGAGAACTTGATGAGGATATCAGGATTGTCAGGTAACATATATGGTGCTGTATGTACAGTACAACCCATCTGATATGATTCCACATGTCCATGTTGGAGCATTTCCTTTGTATGTCAGTATACATGTATGTATTGTAACAAAGGTTTCTGGTATTTCTTTAGGCAGTCCTTTTGCTGGTCTGGCTATGAACAGGCCAAAAGCAGTGCCACAGAGTACCATGAGTCACATGCGGAAAGGTAGCTGGTTTAACTTGGTTTCCCTCAAATAGCAATGATTCAATGTGAAGCCATATACAACATTTCCATCCAGGTCAGGAGAACACTGCTCTGTTATCACACTAAATGTCACTGTGTGTTTTCCAGATCCCAGCAACATGTACATGAGGCAACAGCCTACACCTATGGTGCAGCAACAACCTGCTGTATTCAACCAGCCTTACCAACCAAACACTCAGAACGTAATGATGACATCACAGGCTCCTAATGTACCAGTCAGCCATTCATGGGCAAATCCCAACCCAGCACTCTCAATGAATACAGTCACCATAAACCCGTCTGGTGTCATGAGCAATCTATCCCGCCCTAATAACAGCAGGCCACAGCAGCCAAACCGTGGATCTGGTTACCCCCACAGAGTGGAGCACAGCAGCTTTGAGAATAACACCCTCCCTCAGCTCTCCATGAGGGACTTGCAGTGCTTGGATACAGCCCCCCAGGCCACCGGAATGATCCAGTCAGAGTCCCAGCAGACCTTCCACATGCAGCACCAAAGTGGGGAGCTCGCCTCTGAGACCCCGGTCCAGAACCATTTTGGCAACCAGAACCAGGGTCTCCAGACTGTGTGGCCCAATTTCACTACCCTCAGTCCAGCCCAGAACACCTTTAATGGGTCAGTACCTGGAGGTGGAGGGGGGTCACAGGGGATGGGCTCTTTCCCTTTCCTACAGGGAATTGAAGGGGACGATTTTCTGAAGGGCCTGGTGGAAGCAGGGTCTCAGACAGGCTTCCAGCTGAAGCAGGAGCCCCAGATCACAGTGGAAGAGACCCGTGCTTCTCTCATGCAGTCCCCAAGGGAAAGCCAAGAAAATACTTACACCAACTTGCTTCCTCGTCCTATGAGCAATGGTACCAACATGGATCCAATGAGGCCAGGCAGTAGTGGCAACACCCAGCCTCTTAAAAATGTGCAAAACCCTTACTCAAACAGCATGGCAACCGAAGGCCACTATCCAACTTTGGCTGACTGGATCAAATCAACACATCAAAACGACTAAAAGGAGTGACATTTTTGTTATCAAGTAATAAACAGAAGCAGCTCCAAAGAATACATTGGTCTTGTTTAGACTTGTAAAGCCAGAAATGCTTCACCCATTCTGGCCTGGTAAGGCCCAGTGGGCATTTGCTTGGGTTATTACATCAGTGGGCATAATTGGGCTTGTAAGTGGCACAACTGATTACGTACTAGGTCCTTCTTTAGCAAAGACATCACCAAGAATGCTTCCTACACCTAATTGGCCAAACGTGGCCCTTGGTGAGCTGTCATTGCTCTTTGCTTCCCATTATTATATCTGGAAAATCTGGACACCTTTCTTCTGAAAACTTTCAATCAAATTAGATTTTTTTGTAAATTTGAGACAAGAAATAGAGCATGCAGTGTCAGAACGTCGTCACATTTTATATCAAGTATGCCTTGTCCGAATTTTATGGTTTGATTGGTTTATGGTGTGATTCTGTAGAGGTTCCAACCCAATCCTGTACCCTCTAAAACATTGTGGTGTTTCAAGAGGTGCCTAGTTACGTCGTCATTGTAGTCACTCCCCCTAATTCAGTTATTGGTTCGGCTCCCAGCTGCTGGTGTCACGATAACCTCATCAAACAAAATGCTGATGGCTTCCAGGCTAAAGTTAAGATTTATGAAGACGTGAATGTACTACTTTCTTTCTTTGTCTTTCTCAGGTGAAGTTGGATTCACTGTCAAAATACTGTATAAAAATCTATGTTTTGTTTTTATGTTTGACCTGCGTGGGGGGTGGGGGGACTTTGAAAATAAAACAGAGGAAAATGGCTTATTATCATGGGTTTACTTTTTATTGCTTTGTAAAGGATTCTTACATATTTCACTGTTTTATTGATTTTCTTAGCAGAGTTGAGAGCACTCTGTACATACATGTTAGCCATAGCTGAGAGTGAAAGCAAATAACCATGCTGAAACACTCAAAAACTGGCAAGGTACTGAAATTTCCATTGAGGAAGTGGAAGGAAGCACATTCAGTGTTTCTTTCCTTTGTAATGACTATGTCATACCAGTGATCACATGTGTTAATTAGAGTTCTCAGAGCGTTCTGCCAGATGTTTTATAGATACACATGTCAATTTTCTTTCATTCAACTGAGGCTCTTACTGGTAGCCTCACAGAGCGTCTTGCTCGAGGACATTGTGATAGGATACATGGCTGATGATGAACAAACACTGGCTCTTTTGTGGGTTTCAAATAATGTGACCTGCACCAGCAGCCTATATTGCTCTGTCACCTCAAGCCTAGCTCATTTGAGCGTTTTGGGTTTTTTGTGTTTTTGTGTTTTAAATGAAAGTAATTTGTAATGTTTTATATTTTTGGATGTATTTTTTACCAGATCAGTTCTTAATAAACAAAGTATGTCTTATTCCAAATCTTTTGTCATTTAATTATATGTTTCTCGTATCAAATTATCATCTCTTATACTTTACATGCTCTACATGCTTTTCACATGGAAGCATACAGTTATGCAAATGATAAAGCATGGCCAGGTGCCCTGACACATGATCATAATGGATAGGAAGGAGGCCCAGTGTATTATTTTCTATATTGGGTCACCTCAGAGTCTGTTATCACAATTATAACATGGCCAGTTGAAGGAACAGTTCGACATTGTGGGAAATGCACCTATTTTCTTTCTGGCCAAGTGTCTGTATGGTTAATAAATATATATCGAGAGCCAGCAACCAGTTAGCTCAGCATAAAGACTTGCATGGGGGAAATTATAAGTCTGGCATATAATCCCGCAAAACCACAATGTGTAGTTTTTACACATGGGTCTTTGTGTGCTTTAGACAAATAAGATTGTTATCAGGCTTGTTGTTTTAATAATAAAATGAGGCTTTATGGCAATATAAAGTAGTGTTGTAGTCAAGACTGCCCGAACCGAGACCAAGTCAAGACCAAGACCGGAGTTTATCGAGACTGAGACAAGACCAAGACTTTTAGGGGCTGAGAGAAGTCGAGACCAAGACCGAGGGAGGGCGAGACCGAGTCAAGACCAAGACCAGTTCCCTGCATTGCATGGCACGCAATAAAATGTGGAACGAGATAATAAGTACTTCACAAATTGATCTGGATCCACATTCCCATTAAAACACCCACATGCAATCACTAAGAGCTGAAATCAATGTAAGCTTCGCATGGATATCATAAACTATCATCAATGGAGCAGTGCTGAGGATGAATTAGAGTTTAAGAGTCTGATAGCTTGGGGGGGGAAGCTGCTTTGCAGTCTGGTGGTGTGGCAGTAGAACCAACAATCTTCTGGGCAGTTTTAATCACCCACTGCAGAGCCCTCCGGTCTTGGGCCGTGCACATCCCATGCCAGTTTGTGATGTTTCCAGTCAGGATGCTTTCTATTGCTCCTCTGTGAAAGCTGACAAGAACCTGCTCCACCTCAGCTCCGCTGATGTAGACAGGGGTGTGTGTCTTTATCTCCTTCTTCCTAAAATCAACAATCAGCTTCTTAGTTTTGCTGACGTTGAACAGTAAAGTTGGTTGTTCTCTGAGCACCACTCTACAAGATTATGAATTTCCTCCCGATACAAAGTCTCACTGTTGTTTGAAATCTGGCCAATGATGGTGGTGTCATCCACAATTCACAACAGAGTTCTCTTCATGTCGAGGGATGCAGTGGTGGGTGTACAGCGTGAACAGGAGGGGGCTGAGCACACAGCCCTGGGGGGGCTCCCCGTGTTGAGCACTAGAGTGGAGAAGGTGTGTCCACCAATCCGAATAGACTGGGGTCTGTTTGTGAGGAATATCCTGTTGCAGGGTGTTGTATTTAAACCCAGAGTGCTGAGTTTGCTGATCAGTTTCATGGGGAGATTGTGTTGAATGCCGCTAAAGACTTGAATGGGGGAAATGGCTAACCTGAAAGTTACTGGCAAAACCACAATGTGTAGTTTTTCCACATGGGTCTTTGTGTGCTTTAGACAAATGAGACTGAATGTGTTAATTTGTGAGTTTTAGAGATGCAGGTCAGTAGATGTTGTTATCAGGCTTGCTGTTATAATAATAAAATGAGGCTCCATGGTAATATAAATGTTGTCAACAGATACTGACAACAGGTTACCTATAACTGAAGTAATGATTTAGAAGATTGTTTAAACTAAAGCAATATCAAACAAGTATTTTCTGTGGTCCTGGTAAAAGCATTTATTTTATCATATTTATAAGTGACAACATCATCAATTACTAGAACACTACAATGTCTGGCAAGTGTCAGTTTTGATCTTAAATGATGACCAAGCCTAATTTGGGGGATGGACAGATACATTGAGAGATCACAATGTAGAAGCTAGTTGAAGTAAAATTCCCAGATTGTAAACAATGCAATCACCTGATAGAGAAGTAGTGGTTGTGGTGCATGGCAGACAGTTCCGGCAATTAGGTGTGATAAACAGTTTACTGTAGTGGAGATAATAAGGTGATAGCCTGACAGTGAGCATTTCTGACTCTGACTAACATGTCATAATAACAACGTGATTAGAGCCACATGACTTTGTACTTTCAATTTGAGATACTCTGAGCCTGTCCTCACCTTACCTCATCATGATTTAGTCAAAACATCACTTTCCTCTCAATCAGACAAAAAACATGACAACAAATCTACCCTAACTAAGCTAGACTGAACTTGAATGAAAAGTCTGAGCAGTGAAACTTTTGTGGCCTGACCTAGCCCTTGGCTAACAAGCCACTTTTGCCTTCAGGATTACATTTTGTGCCAACACGCCTAATTTACAGCACAAAACAGAAGAATGCAACCACATTTAACCTCAGTAAAACAATATCAGACTACATACTAGTGATGTGCGACACCACTTAATTCCTATACGATCCAATACCAAATAATACCCGGGCTGGTATTGCCGATACCGATATCAATACTTATACATATTTTATTTCTAGTTTAATGTGACCTCCCCCTTCCGTTTATGTATTTATGAGAGAAATAAGGAGTAGGCTGTAGCCTTACCAATTCAAAATAATAGTGCATAATGCATAATAAAGTCATATTCTTTAATTATAATAATAATATCCTGCTCAGAACTGCCGCTTCATAACATCATCCTGTTATTGTGACAGACTTTCTCAGATGTTTAGCAAAGTTTGACTTGACTGTTTTTACAGTCAGCTAGAGTCAGTATTCAATCGCGGGAAATGTCAAGGGCTGCAGCAGCTAACTTCAAAGAAGCTCCACAGAGCCGTAGCGCAAGCATGACTTTGACAGGCGGAAGGAAAAGTAGTTCCTATCAACTGAGTATAATTAGACCATCCTGGTGATAGAAAGATACTTACGATAAAACACACATTCACTCCAAATGACTGTATTTAGATATTGATCCTTTTATATGAGTATCGATCCTAGAGCAGAAAATGTTGGTATCAGAAATATCGATACTTTAGGATCGATCCGCACATCACTATCTTTTACATTCTGATATTATAACGGCTATCAGTTGCTTACCTTCGAAAGATAGTTTTGGGATTTTGGGAAATGCACTTCATGACTTTCTAGAGTAAGAGTGGAAGATACCACTCTTATACTTGTAAATCAAATATGAAACCAGGAGACTATTAGCTTAGCTTAGCTAGCATCGTTCGTGTCTGAAGCTAACAAAATCTGACTTGTTGTATGTCTGTGTTCTATGAAGTCTGTTTCTAAATGATCAGGTTTCTGTACAGAGTATGGTCGCATTTAGAAGGCACCAGTTGCACAATAAAGGAAATGACTATAATTACAGTCACTATGTTGAGTAATGTCACTTGAGTAATTGGATACAATGTTTAGCTCTAAATACTTTTAAACAGCTCTATCTCTACAAGCCTCTATTAAGATAAGAAGTTCAAAAGACTGTCGAGGCCATTTTAGCACAGTGAACTCTGCATTATCCTGCTGGAAGTAGCCACAAAAAGATGGGTACACTGTGGTCATAATGGGGTGGACATGGCCAGGAACAATACTCAGATAGGCTGTCGCGTTTAAACGATGCTCAGTGGGGCCCAAAGTGTGCCAAGAATATTTCCCCCACACCATTACACCACCACCAGCCTGAACAGTTGATATAAGGCAGGATGGATCCATGCTTTCATGTTGTTCACGCCAAATTCTGACCTGATCTGAATGTTGCAGCTGAAATCGAGACTCATCAGACCAGGCAACGTTTTTACAATCTTCTATTGTCCAGTTTTGGTGAGCCTGTGTGAACTGTAGCCTCAGTTTCTTGTTCTTAGCTGACATGAGGGTCACCCGGTGTGGCCTTCAGGGTTCGACATGTTGTGCGCTCAGAGATGGTATTCTGCATACCTTTGTTGTAACGAGTGGTTATTTGAGTTACTGTTGCCTTTCTGTCATCTCGAACCAGTCTGCCCATTCTCCTCTGACCTCTGACATCAACAAGACATATTGTCGTTCTGTTCTTTGATATTGAGCATTCATACAATATTTAGAATTTGAATTTAATAAATGCAGGTGCTTTTGTGTTTATTTTTAGTACTAAACTACTAAAGGACTCTTTCTTTTAAATTCTTATTACAAAGATGAGTAATTATCCATATCACATTTGCAGATATTGGCCTAACTACAGATGCCCTTTTAAGTCTCTCTTATTAAATGTTGCTTCACAATGCCTCTTACAGTATATGAAATCTATCTACTCACCTTTTATTTGTATAAGATTTCCTCATGTTTATACCCAAAAACAGATGATAATCTATCTCATGCCTTTGTAATGACTTACATCAGATAAAATGTAGGATGACAAAGTCACTATGTCATCGCTGGGCAGCAAAATCATTTTGGGTTTGTCATTTCTTTTAAATTACGTGCAATTCTGACACATGTGAAACTGATCGTTACGTCAAGGTTTCAATAATTTGGTGGCAAGAATGTGAAAAATATCTACTGAATATCTTTCTAAAATCTTCATAGTCAGCCACTGGAGCTTATGGATATTCAGTGTCTTGCTCAGTGGCACTTCAACAAGGCAGATGCTTGCTGACACGAGCAAAATCCAACGTTCAGGGATTGAACGACAGCCTTTCTAAACATATTTTATTTGAAGTACTTCTGGTAAAAGGTATATACATGATTTGCATTTTACAAAGACACTTTTCTCTGTTAAACAAGCTGTTATTCACGTATTACATTTCAACTACAGCCTACAATCTCTGTGAGGCTGTATAGAGCTAAATAATAATGTCAACAACCAAGCCCACAATGACAATGCAAATATGCCAATATTTATAATGACATTCATGGTAATTCTGTGAATGTGTTGTACAGTTTCCTATTTACATCAGTGTCACTCACATTTTCATCACAAACATGCCAAGAATGTTGATAGGAAACAAATCAACATTTAGATTC